TCAATGGAAGAAATTGGAAAACAAGGATCCGGTCTGCTCTTACGCAAAAATGCTCGAGGCGGTCTCGGTTTATTTTAAAAAAGCAACAACACCCAAAAAACTACCAATAAAGCTACCCGATAGAGCTCTATACAATGTGGACTTACGGAAATTTGTCAAAAAGCTTAAAATAGCACATTTTTGCGGTGTATTTATGCGAGATGCTATACCTAAAGGTGGTGCTAGAACAAACGAATGTGGTACAATCAATTTAGATGAAAAAGAACAAAGGAACGCATTGGGTAGCATGCAGAAAAAATGGTAATGTAGCTGAGTATTTTGATAGTTTTGGTAATCTTAAACCTCCACGTGAACTCGTTAAATATTTAAATGCTGCTATCTAACAATAATGACTGTTATCAAAATTATGATCAAAGCATCTGCGGTCACCTTTGTTTGGAATTTCTCTATAAAACTAATTGACCACCGTAGCCTCTCTCAGTCATGTCTCAGATATTCACCTTGAAGAGTCATACGTCAACGTTGTCCATTGATTTTGTGAATCCGATTAGATTAGAGGATGGGTTCGATTACGGTTTGAGTTTATTGTCTTTTTATTCCTATAATAGTGTACCTAACATTGACGGGACACAATAAATTTATTATTACGAGAACAACAACAAAAATCGAGAAAAAAATATCGTCATTCCTACGGGTGCGTATGAAATAGAAGATATTGAATCCTATATTAAGAAACACATTGTTGACGGTGGTGGTGGCGGTGTGAGGGTGGTGATCGAGTGAAAGACGTTTTTTCGCTGAAACCTAATCTGAATACGCTCAAGTGTGAACTGTACAGTTCAGTGCATGGCATTAACTTTCAACAAAAGGATTCCATCGCATACGTTTTAGGATATTCTCCATCAAGAGTCTTGGAACCTAGGATTTATCACCAATCAGATCTTCCTTTAATATAGTTAAAGTTAGAACTATCCATATCGATAGCAATATTACTGTTGGAGCTTTCTACAACGATAGACCTTCACATACCATATACGAATTCTCTATTACAGACGAGGCTGGGTGTGCAATTAACGAAAGTCTTAAAAACTTGATTTATCTACCAGTGAATCAACGTGAAATAAATAACATTACTTTGCTGGTGCTCCATCAAAATTTTGAATTGGTGAACTTTAGAGGAGAAGAAATCATCATACGTTTGGAGTTGAAAAAATTATAATGGTTTTGGTGATTCCACCCCACCCCTCAAAAACACAATATAAACCATATATTCCGGTTAATGCTCTATCAGTTGGTAGTGGTCATTCGAAGAGTGCTGACGTGCTGCATTCCACACTTATTATAGCCAACCAATTATTTTTACAATCGCTCAATTACGATGTCGTCAAGTCAAGTGTTCGACGTTTACGAAAAACCGATATTTGATGATACAATCCAAGGCGTTAAAGAGTTCACATATAGACCGTATATTCCGTCTCTTCTCAATAACGATGAAATCACCATTACTATTAATCAGAGTGATGCATGGCTTTTGATGTATTATGCCGCTATTGTAATTAAGGGGAAATCAAAAAGAACTGCTGGCGCTGGAACAGTTTCCTTTGTGAACAATGCCGGAGCGTTTTTCTTAGACTCTTGTACATACGAACTTAATGGATCCATATTGGACACCGTTCGAAATCCGGGTATTGTAAGCACCGTTCGAGGATACTTATGTTACAGTATTAACGATTCAAGACATTTAGCCCCAACAGGATGGAACTATCCTTCTGTATCTATTCTTGATGCTACCACAGGCTATTTTTTAGCCTAAGAGTTCCACTTAAACACTTACTGAATTATTTTAATGACTATAATTTGCTGCATATGGGAAACATACTATACGTCTAGTGAGAGCACGTAATGATAATAACTGTATGCTTATTGCTGAAGCTGTTGGCGCCGCCGTCGCCGGTACTACACAAGCCAAATTTGAAATTCATGAGATCAAACTGCTAGTAAAACATATTTACCCCAATGATGTGATTAAAGTGAATCTACTAGAAAATATTAAAAACGATAAGCCGGTGTATGCACCATACAGAAAGTGGTCTTTACACGAACTTCCAGCTCTAACAGTTAATGCTAAACGTGAAATATGGCAGATACAAACGTGTGCTGCTATAGAGTGTCCACGATATGTAATAGCGGCTTTTCAAACAGATAAATTCGATAAAGTTAATCAGGATCCAACTTTATTTGATCATATTGATGTAACAGACGTTCGACTGCTCATAAATGGGGAATACTATCCCCATGAGCGTTGAGATTTGACTTTGATAAAAACGATTATGTGGACGCTCACATGAATTATATAGATTTTTATCGGAGTTATAAAAATACCTCATTCAAGCCTGCACTACTTGACTATCCATCATTTAAAAATCGTGCGATTTTTGTTATTGACTGCTCTAAGCGTAGCGAATCAATAAAATCGACAACAGTAGATGTAAAATTAGACATTGAATCGGCAAAAGGGTTCCCCACCAATACACGTGTTTACTGTATTATTATTCATGATTGTGTAATGGAACTGCATCCTCTCTCCGAAATAATTAAACAATATATGTAAAATCATCCTTTCGATTCGATCAGTTACTTGTAGTTTATCGAATAGAACCAACAATGGCTACAATGTGCTTTGTTGATCTGCAAGGATTTTATCTTCAGAATCATGGTTTTGTGGTTAAAGAAATGTCGATACTGGTTGGAAGTCAAAGCAATTATTTCTTATTCAGATCTATCAATAAATACAGTTCATTAACCTCTAAAGATAAAGCTACGATACGGTATACTGAACGGTACCATGGACTCAGATATGAGAAGGGTTACGTGGACTATAGTTTACTTGATGAAATGCTCAGGAGTCATTTAGCTGATTTGGATATGGTATACGTAAAACGACAGTGCAAACGTCAATTTTTAATCGATAGATTAAATGATATGCAAATTACTAAGCCCAATATTATCAATGTTGAAGATTGTGATTCGCGTTTCAAACACCAACACCACCACCACCACCACCACAAAATGTGAGAAAATTGAGAAATGTATACCACTGTGTTTGAATCATGATGGCGTATCTGGTATATGTGCTCTGAATAACTGTCTCAAAATCAAAGAATGGGTATATAAATGTCTACCTATGTAATTCGCTCATAGATTCAAACATGCAGCAGCAGCAGCAGCAAGAGCTTCTGAGACATCACATTGAAAATATTCAAGTAATTAAAACAGCAAATTCGTCAATATGAAGATACAAAGCATACACTTGAAAAACTACAAACGACTATCCATTCAAGATGACGACGACGAGGCTAAATGGAGACGAAATGTGTTTCACAATTATGAAAGATTCCAACGTTTAAATTGTAAATCATCACGAAGAATACATTTAATTAATGAATTGTAATTACATATATCAATAAAAATGTATTGGGCTTATCTTGGTGTTTTTTTATATAATGTAATGATACCTTCCTAAACGTTAGTTAATCGTTAATCATGGTTGCATTAACTCCTAATTATATTGTACTATGTGCTTTGGTGAACGGTGTTTTTTACGTTCAACGTCCATTAAGAGCGGAGGAAATATTCATTTGTCTTAATGAAAATAATACCAAAAACGAAAGTTGGCCTTCAAGATGGCAGCGCATGTCTGCTACTATGCTCAACAATGATGTTGAAGCATTTGAAGTTACAGTCCCAGAACATATTACCGAATATAAATTACGATTCGTACTTCAGGAACACAACTACAACGTTACTGCGTGGAACTATTTTCCATCCCCACCACCACCACCACCACTAAATTAGACACCTAAAGAATATATAGATAAGCTGCCAGGCATATATGGTTTATTACATAGCTGTTTGTATATCGCTGCTGATCATCAAACTTCTAGTTTGTTTATACCTTCCAAGCAGAAGAAATGACATTTATTGTTCTCCGTAAACAGCTTGGACGATCTTCGTTATAACCACCAATATATTGGCGATTATCATTTCAAACGAATATTTATTAAGCATGCGTGTGCAACTATAGGTTTAAAAATTTCAACAACATTATTAGATGTGCTACTAGAACCCTGCTGGGATGATCATACTCCGGCAAACGACAACTGTTGTGACGTCATTGATGGTCCATACAAGTCGCATAAACTAGATTGTGATACAATGTATGAAGTCTTATATTAAATAATTTATAACTCTGCTTTTTCTTTTATTCACCTTTTCTCGTTTATGTCACATACGTTACGTGTCACGTATGCCACATACGTCACGTATGTCACGTGTCACGTATGTCACGTACGTCACTTGTCACGGACGTTAGGTGTCACGTACGTCACTTGTCACGGACGGACGGCATGGTAGGACTAATGGTGAGCAATGTGTGCTGGAGAGAGGTGACTATTCGTAAATAAAAAAACATATCTATCACAATGCAATTTAATTGTATACAGATACAAGCTTAGATAACAGAGTTTTTAGTTGATGTAACAAATCCTCGTTGGGACATGGTACTCCAAATAGATTCCATTGAAATGGTCCAGTCGCAACAACTTTTATTGTAAACTCGTTGAATTTATAGTAATTACTTTGACGGAAAAAGTAAATATGACCATCAATCCATCGAAGTGCGAGAGAAATATCTTGAGGTAACCCAGGAAATATGTCTCTTATCCGTCCTCTGTTCAACACTTCAGTAAAATCATTAGAAAATTCTATATATGACATATTATTATAAAAGGTATAGGACCGCCATGCGTGTGATTGAAAAATAGCATTGATTCGAGCCCTATCGGGTATATCAATTGAAAGTTATCAATAAATTTAATGGTAGGGAATGATGCTGAGAAATATTTGTTTGGGGAGACAATTGTAATCAAATCACCGTTTGTTGATTGGAAAATATGTTGTAAAGTGTATTGACGTAATTCTGTAGGAATATAATCGACAAGAAGATCAGGCTGAGATGGGATAATCATTTCGTTCAAGTCTAGTTTCCATATAAACACATCATGTGCAATATCTAATCGGTAATTTGAAAACTCTGGAGCAATGGCTAGAAACATAAAATCTGGTACAATATCACACACATTTTTCTGCTGCTTACGATATGATAGTAGAAGACGGGTCACTTTGCACAACCTTTTGACTCACCCTGTATACAACCTTCTTCACTCCCCCTGTATACACTACACCTCACCTTATCGGCCACACATCCGCATGCGAACGTCGTCGCGCCGATAACGCGATCCTGCAACCGTCCATACACCGCCATCTTTCTTTAACGCTCCCAACCTTTTGACTCACCATGTATACAACCTTGTTGACTCCCCCTGTATACACTGCACCTCACCTTATCGGCCACACATCCGCATGTGAACGCCGTCGCGCAGATAACGCGAACCTGCAACCGTCCATCGGCTGTTTTATCTCACTTCCGCTATGGAATGCCCTTAGCTCCACTACTGACTTACTATTCCATACAATGTTGCACCAGACGCTAGCTCAGCAACAGATAACGACTTCTCGCTAACTCGTTGCTTATGCTTTGTTTTCTAGTAGTGCTTTGTAAGCACACCAATAGTATAAATAGGCCTTGCAGCCATTTCATTGGGTTGTTCAATACCCGGCTAGGCACCGTAACAGTCACTTATGTAAACTTGTGTTCAATACCCGGTTAGACTCCGTCAAGTCAAGTAATTGTAAACGTTTGTAACGGACAGTAGCTACTGTCCTCAAATAATTTTTTTAAAAAGTAAAGTTGAATTTAAATGGTATAACATCGATGTTAGTATGTTTGAAAATTTTCGACGCGAAATTTCGGACCGGCTGTTATTGTGTCAAGAAGTTCAAGGTAATCATTTCCAGCATCTTCTAAACTGAACTCAACGTATTTAGTCGAATTATCAAGTTAAATGTCAATGTATCCAGGTAATTATTAAATGTACCACCATTTTGTAGTACGTAAAGGTATTGACTTTATATTCTAGGGTTATAAAGTACTCGGCAGGAGCTTCAAAATGATGTGCCACATACGTTTTCATATAATTTTTTTCCAAGATGGCGCCCATCGGCTATCTTGACATCTTCATTTGTCAATTTTACTCTAAAATATGGAATCCACGCATCAATTTCGTTACCTCAAGTTAAAATTTTTTGAATTGATCTGTTCAAAATATCAAAGGGGGGGGACATTAAAGAAAAGCACTATATAAAAAAAGCGAGGAAACGTAAATACGCTTTCTTTTCGGATTCGTTCGTTAATTTACTTGTAATCTTAACGTAAAAGGGAAAATCTATTAAACCTGTGGCATAAGAAAGAAAAACATTTTCTGTTTGAGAAAGAAATATCAAAAACTGGACAAGTTTGATATTTGAAACACTCAGACTTTGCTAGTTATAATAGTCACAGTAAATATATATATATATATATATAATACTTGGCTCGAAAGTCTGCATTTATCTCTCGTAGTATTAGTAGCTGCAATTTAGTGTGTTTCCCAGTTGAATATCCATAAATACGGGGGTGGCTTCAGGTCCATTTAAAGATGAAGACGTCATATGATCGAATGTCCTGAATGTTTTAACTTTTTAAACACAGGCTCATAAAGAGTCAAAAAAATAAATCGTTGATTATGAATATATGTAATACCACTTAATGAAATTTGGCATACATGTACATGTGTCAAGAGGCATTCTTTTAGTCTTACCTGCCTATTTTGATAGACAGTGATGGTATGCCGTTTATTTCTCTCTTATTAAAATCTTCAATCACGTCTAAGCAAAAATCACTTGGATTTTTTTGTTCCGATGCACGGTTTTTATAAAAACGATCATAACAATATATTGTTAACATGACAATATCACCATGAAGTAATTTTTTTATTTTTAGAGTGAAATCGTGGGTCGGACATTAAAAATTTTATTTTTGAATTCTTTTAGTCTGAAGCATGGTTTTCACCTGAAAAATGTAATCTATTTTTCGACATGGTAACATTGCCATACTAACGATACTACGATCATGCAAAGAAACGTTATTTTATTTTTGTAAGCAAATACCGGGCATCGGAGTGAAAAAAATTAAGCAATCAAATTTGCTTATAAATGACGGAATTTCAAGAGTAGTTTTTATTTTCAGAGAAATCAGTTGCGTACTATCATTGTCTGTCAAAATAGGCAAGTGAAACCGATACTAACGTCGCTGGTGGAAATTAAAGGAAAATTCGTACACTAAAAATACCTCTTGATAGTACATACAGTAATGGAGAAAAGTATATAGACAGATATGAATATTTACCTAAATACCTTTAGAAAACGAATTCATACTTCATTGCTCCATAAACAGTTATTAGTAGAAAACCTAAATTCCTTGTTTTTACATTATCTGCAATGAACACAATACAAGTCTAAATATAAGCCCTTTTTTGAGGGACAAAAATATGTAGACAAATTCATTCCAACATTAGTTTAGTACAGTTTCGTGTCAGAAGAGGATTAGTTTGTGTTCATCAAGTATTGTGGAATAAGTTGAGTGACTTTAAGACCATACCTCGTGTTCCAGAAATTTCTTTCGATGTGGAAACTAAGATTTTTTAGTTAAAGATGGTCAACGTCAAGTCAACATTGCCAAAAATTTGAAGCTGAAGCGTAAAGCAGTTTGGGAATTATTGAACAATTATAAACAAAAATGTATCTTGGAAGCCTCTAAGAGAAGTGGTCGGCCTAGAAAACTGAAATGTTAGATCAGTTGGATTAATAAAAGTAATTTCGTCCAAAGATCCGTTTAAAACCCCAACACAAATAAAATCCGAAATCGAGACCAAAGGAATTGTCAGTGTTTCTACGAAAACTATAAGTAGAAGATTAAATGATTTAAAGTTATTTGCACGTCGCCTGAGTAAGAAGCCGCTAATCTCGAGGAATAACTGTAAGGACCGGTTACAATTTGCACGGTTGCATCTTGATTGGAGCATCTGTGACTGGAAAAGGGTATGTTTTAATGATGAATCCAAGTTCAATATGTTTGG